GTAATAAATAATACTTTGGAGAAGTCAAAGAAATATAAAAATAGCAGAGCTGTTTTTTAACATAAAACATTAGAGAAAATCCACCTGATGTAGAGGAACCTGGCATTTGAGTGTGCCATGACATGAACAGTCTTAAAGATATAAATAATAACTTACTGAAATATAATTCGTGTGCCATACACTTTGCCCATTTACAAAGTACAGTTAATGAGACGTGTTGATTAGTAATTACTACAAAGAATTTTAGAATATTCAGTAATAACATTAGAACATTTTAGTCTCTCACGAAGACTGTACATTAGCAGTCAATCCCAGCTGCCCTTTCTGTAGACTCGTGATGCATGGGTTGTCTCTGGATTTACCCGTTTGTTTCATAGAGGCAGTCTTCTATGACTACTTTCTTTCATTTAGCATTGTGTTTCAAAGTTACCCCTGGCGTTGAACTCTTTTAAATGACTCATTTGACTTTCTTCATACCTATATTCCTCTCCAAAAGATGAACCTAAGATAAACCACCCTCTTAGACTGATCTATGTGACTGCTAATGAAGCCGGTGGTGTGTGCCCCTTTAGCATACTGCAGGGAGTGTCAGTAAAGCAAGCTCTCCCTTAGCCCTGGCCCTGACAAAGGTAGAGCGATGATTGTGCACTCGCTTGAGAGCGCTGCTTCGTGTAGTCGGCTGCCCCAGTCATTCCCGCTCAAAACTCGTAGCTCCCAGTCCATCAGCAGTGGATGCTCTCAGGTCAGGGTTGCTCCTTGTACAGCAGGAATTATGGTCAGGCTTGTTGGTGGCAAAGACCAAGCCTGAGCCGCTGTGCTCATCAAGTTACAGGCGGTTGTGACTGTCTACATGTGCTGGGATCCGAACTGGGGTCTCTGTAAGCGCATCAAGTGCTTCTGACTGAGCCTCGGCAATTGCACTCTCAGGAAAGAGACTGAGGGTCTTGAAATAGCTGTGCTCTCTTTAAAAGCTACCAAACCTTAGCCTTGTGAGCCACCAAGCTCCTGCTGGTTGTCAGCCACACTCACTGTGCCTTCTCAGAGTGTGACCCTGACAGCTGTGGAGAGAAGCCATGCCAGGTTGTTTGGCCACCTGTGTGTGACAGGGATAACTAGCTGGCCAGGAGCAAGCTTGCTTAAAGTGAAAGCATTGCTTGGGTTTTCTTTTCTTTTTAGAATTAGGAACTATTCTTCAGTAGATCATTTTAAATTTTATTTACTTTTATTTTGTCTGCATATATCTTTGTGAGGGTGTTGGGTCCCCTGGAACTGGAATTACAGACAGCTGTGAGCCGCCCTGTGGCTGCTGGGAATTGAACCCAGATCCTCTGAAAGAGTAGTTAGTGCTCTTAACCACTGAGCCGTCTCTCTGTTCCCTCTCTTCTTAGACTTTTATTTATTTTCTCCTGTTTTGGGGGGTTTTATTTGTTTGTTTTGTCTTTTTGAGACAGGATTTCTTTATAACAGAGCCCTGGCTGTCTTGGAACTTGGAACTGACCTCAAACTCAAAGAGATCCTCCTGCCTCTACCTCCCGAGTACTGGGATTATAGGGGTTCACTACCACACCTGGCCACTTCCTGGATGTTATTGTGAAAAGAAAGTGCTCAGTTTTTTGGGGAAACTATAAACATGCGTTAATTGTTATGAGAAACAGTGAATGGATCAGTGTGAACTGAAAGGATTTAATTTTCCTCACAGGATAGTTAGCAAGAAATCCCTCAACATGGTATTCATAGCATTCGCATCGAATGTTTTATTTTTCAAAAATATGTGTAAAATATCAAGAGTTGGTGTTTATGCTGCCTTCTGTGCAAAGAATGATCACATACTTTATTTCTGATCTGGGAGACACTTAGGTCCCTTGTCAGCATGCAAGTGAAAACTTGGACTAACCTAATTGACTGTAGGACATACAGAATTTGCAAGTATCTGTAGCCTCAAACCATCACCCAGATTAAGGTAAAAATTCAATTCCACAAAGGACTTTTGGGACCCCTCTCAGGGCCAGTGGAAGTCTCTCAAGCATTCCATTAGTTTTACCTAGGTTTGAATGTTGAATAAATGCAATAATAGGTATTTTTTCTTCATTTTTATATCTGAAGTTCAGTCACTTTTTGTCTGGAGTGATATATTACATCGCTTAAATTCATTTCTGTGATTTGGGGCTTTTTCATACTTGGACATATGCCTGTCTCTGGTTCACAGCACTCATTTTTGTTGGACTTATACCTGCAAATAGAATTGTTGGTCTACAGTGATCCTTGTTTAGCACTAGTGGCTGCTGTCAAACATTTGTTAGAGTGGCTGGGCTGCAGTATGTGAGAGTTTGGTCTGTATTATGATGACTGTTTAATTCCTCCCTCCTTCCCGCTTTGGGCATAGAGCTTGTGGTATAGCTGGGTCAAATGGTAGTTTGATGTTTAATTCTTTAGGAGCCTCCACAGTGATTCACATGTGGCTGTACCAGTTCACATCCCTGCCTGCAGTGAGCAAGGGCTCTTCCTTCCCCAGTGTTGGTTGATGGCAGCCATTCTGTCTGAGTAGGACAGAATCACCAAGTGGTTTCAGTTTGTATTTCCCCAATGGGTAAGGATGTGGAACACTTAAACATTTATTGGCCATTTGTATTTCTTCTTTTGAAAACTGTCCATCACTTATTTATTTCATCAGCCCACTTTTTGGTGGGTGATTTTTTTTTTTTTTTGATGTTACTATTTGTAGCTTATTATTCTAGGTATAATCCCCAGTCTGCTGTGCCCTTGCTGAGTTTATCCCCTGTTCTGTAGTCTCTCTTCATTGTACTGATTGTTACCTTTGCTGTGCAGAGCCTTTTAATTTCACGTCATCCCATTGGTCAGTTCTTGGGAATGTTTCCTGTGCTGTTGGAGTCATTTAAAGAAAGTCCCGCCTGTATCTATATCTCAATGTAAAACTCAAGTCAGTGGTTTCCTCTAGCAGTGTTAGAGTTTCAGGTCTTGCATTAAGGTCTTTAATCCACTTTGAATTGATTTTTCTGCATGATAATATATAAATTTTCCATGCCATTTGATGAAAAACCTTTCTATTTTTGAGTATATCATTTGCTGTGCCTGTGTGGGTTTATTTCTGGATCCTGTATTCTACTCCATTGGCTTACATGTCTGTGTCCTGCCAGTATCATACAGATTTAGTTCTCTGACTCTATGGTATAATTTGGTGTTGCGTGTTGTGGTACTGCTAGCGTGGTTTTTTTCTGCTTAGGGTTGCTTTGAATATTTGGAATCTTTGGCATTTCAATGTGAATTTCAGGATTTTTTTTTTTTTCTATTTCTGTGAAGAGTGTTATTAGAATTTTTATGGAGATTATGTTGTATCTATAGACTTTTTTTGGGCAATGGGGCCATTTTTGCAGTGTCCTGAGACTATTACCATCTATCCAGTTTCTTCAGTGTCTTTATAGTTGTATTTTTACAGATGTTCGCCTTCTCAGTAGATTTATTCCTCGTTTTCTCAAAGCTACTGTGAATGGCTTCTTTCTCAGCAAGTTTGCTATTGATACAAAGAAAAGCTGCTGTTTTTGTTGATTTTCATCCCGCTACTTTACTAGTGGTTTAGAGACACAAAAATTTTTCTGGTGGAACCTTTAGAATTTCTTAAGCGTAAGACTGTGTTGTCTGGAAATTGGGACAGTTTGACCTGTTTTTATTTGCATCCTGTTCATTCTTTCTCTTGTCCTACTGCTCTGGCAGTATGACAGACACACTGTATGTCGCAGCAGTGTGTCAAGCATGCCCTCTTGTCTTGCGCTCAGCGCAGAGGAAATGCTCTCAAAATTTCCAAATTCAATAGAGTGTTGGCCACAGGCCTGGCGTCTTTAGTCTTTGTTATGCTTAAGCGTGTTCAGGCTTTTACTCTACAGGGATGTTGTGTGTGTTCAGAGGTCTTGTCTTCATCTCTTGAGGCGATTGTGTGTTTTTTGTTCTTAAGTCTTGTACGCTGTGTTACATTTAACATTTAGTGATTTCTTTGTTGTTGAATCATGCATCCTGTCATAATGATAGTACATGCATTCCTAATATGCATGCTTGAATTAGGTCTTCGAGAATTTTTGTTCGGCTCTTCCCTGGTCTTAGTTTCAGGTAAGGCCTCACTCATATATGAATTTGTAGTGTTTCAGTGTTTCCTCCCATTCTTGGTTGGACAGCACATGAGGAAGCCTTTGTTGTTGTTGTTGTTGTTGTTGGCATTCTTTTTCTAAGCATTGTCCTGCTGTTTCAGTCTTACTGTTTGCAGTTGGCGCTACAGTGATCTACAGGTAATTTTACCCACTCAGCACTAGAGCAAGAGTTTCCTCTTGCTATTTCTGAGGGCTTCTTGACAGAGCATCTTCCTTAACTGATGTGCTTAAACATAGAAAGCAATAGCCATTATAAAGTACCCCTTTTGTATCTCTTTACCACTCTTCATTCTAAAGATAATTGACACTTTCCTGGAAGTGATATGTGTTAGGCTGTGTTTGATAGTTTCATTCGTCTTGTGACCTGTTTTGTTTTTGTTTTTCAACACAGGGTTTCTCTGTGTAGCCTTGGCTGTCCTGACACTCACTCTGTAGACCAGGCTGGCCTTGAACTCACAGATCCACCTGCCTCTGCCTCCTGAGTGCTTCCTATGACGCCTCTCACTTGGCGTCTTTCAGCCTTTGCTTGGCTGCTGAACCATTTGTGTTCTGAACAAGGGAATTGAGTGGCTACAGGAATTTTAGAGACATTTTTATTTTCTGGCTTTATGCCTTTTGTTTTACTTTGAATGCTTTTCTACTTTTACTTACGATAACAAAGACACTTTTCAGTTACATTGGTTGGAGCTCTTAGACTGAATTAGGCTCCTCTCCCCTCTCTTTCAGGGTTTGTCCGAATGAGGAAGCACATGGCCCCTGTAAAGTTAAATGTCACTCCTCCTCTGCACTTGGGCCTTCTGCTGGAGACCCGCCTGTGACCCTGCGCCTGTGACCCTGCGCCTGTGACCCTGCGCCTGTGTCCCGCACCTCTCACATCTGCTGGCTTTGGTTACAGGAAAGTCTCTGAAGATTCCTATCAAATGACGTCAATGGCCAGCTTGTTTTCTTTCACTAGTCCAGCCGTGAAGCGATTGTTAGGCTGGAAACAAGGTGACGAGGAAGAAAAATGGGCAGAAAAGGCCGTCGATGCTTTAGTGAAAAAGCTGAAGAAGAAGAAGGGAGCCATGGAGGAGTTGGAGAAAGCCTTGAGCAGCCCAGGGCAGCCGAGCAAGTGTGTCACTATCCCCAGGTCCTTGGATGGACGCCTACAGGTTTCTCACAGAAAAGGCTTGCCCCACGTCATATATTGTCGTGTTTGGCGTTGGCCAGATTTACAGAGTCATCATGAGCTAAAGCCATTGGATATTTGTGAATTTCCTTTTGGGTCTAAGCAAAAGGAAGTCTGTATCAATCCGTACCACTATAAGAGAGTGGAAAGTCCAGGTAAGTTATGCTCAACCGAGAATTAAGAACAAACAAACCAGAAAACCAACATGTCTCTCACGGATTTGCATATAATAACTAGGCTTATTACATCAGCCTTTGTTAAAGATTGCATCTTAGGAGGAATATTTGGTTTTAAAGTTAACTTTTTTGAACATTAAAACTCTTTATTGGCTATTGGAACTCACTGTCTCTAATAACACCTATTACTTTTCTATGGCCGACATCTCTGTCATGCTAAACACATGTTGCATGTCCACATTAGACCCGGCTCCCTCTTTCTTTGCGAACTTTGTTGTCAACATAGCAGCTATTTTTCTGGCTTTACATTTCTCTGTCTACAAGAGTCTGTCTTTTTCATTAAATATGTTTCCTTTTTGCATGTGTATTTGTGGTGTGTGTGTGTGTGTGTGTGTGTGTGTGTGTGTGTGTGTGTATAACAGCATGTGTGGAGATCTGAGAACAGCTTTTGGTAGTCAGGAAGTCTTTCCTTGATCTTACTCATTATTCATTTTTTATATTCTTTACTAGCTGTTAGTGAATATAGGGCTCAGTATTTATCTATCTTTCTATTTACTTATTTATTTGTTGATAGTAGATGAGTTATTTAAGCTGATGTCTTAGTCCTTTTATTGCTGCTATTAGCAGAATACCACAGACTGGATAAGTTCATCCTACTGAGAACAATTTAAAACAAAACCGTGTATCTCTAATTTGCACATTACTAACTAGGTTTATTAGCTAAAAGATTACATTAGCCTTTGATAAAGGTTAACAGTAGAAATCCAGGAGTGTAGAAAATCCAGGATTAAGAGACTGGAGTGGGTCTCATAATTAACTGTGCCACAGAAGAGCACATGAGTGTTGAGTGTCAGTGACAGAGAGGACAGAGGGAGGCAACAACATATATAGAGAAGCCTGGTTCTGTTTCTCCTGTGGTGCCAGGGATCAAAACCAGAGTCTTGAGTGTCCTCGGCGAGTGCTCTCCATGACATCATGCAACCTGTTGACACAAAGACAAGTCCACCTCTACAGGGACACAGTCTCGTCACCTTTAGTTAGGCCCCACCTCCTAGCTCTGTCATGTTGGGAATTAAGTTTCTGGCCCATGAACTTGGTAAGATTTCCCACAGTAGTTAGGTTCTTTAGTTATCTGTTGCTACACAACAAATAGCCACATGTGTGGTAGTTTAAGCATAGCACATATTTATTACCTTATAGTTTCTGGGGTCAGGCATCTAATCACCCTTAACAGGGTCTTTTGTGAGTTTCTCCTCAAGGTGTCTATCAAGGCTGAGTTTTTCTTGGAAGTTCAGTAGGTTGGGGGCTACTTTCAAGCCCGTGGTGATCCTGACAAGATTTAGTTCTGTACAGGCCGTTGGGCTCTGGCTGGCTGTCAGCCCCCACTTGCTCACTGTGGCTGGCCGCCTTCACCAGAGGTTCATCTGTGTACTGTTCTATACTGCCTCTCTCTCACAGTGCTACATTTTCTCCCTCTACCAGTCTGGTTCTCAGAGCATGCATGCATGTTATGGTCCTGTGTTTTCCTGCAAGAGGGCATTGACTTCTTAGGGAGTATGAACCACACACACACACACACACACACACACACACACACACACACACCCATTCCTTTGCCATTATTCCGTTGCTTAGGAACCAGTACTCAGTCATCTGCTGAAGGGAGAGGGTTATCCAAGCACATGAGTACCCGGAGTGTCTTCCCTACTGGAGGGGTTGTGAGCCTGATGTGCTTGAATGTGGAAACCTACATTGTTTCAGTTCAACCATGAGTTGCTGGTTCATATTCAAGGTCGGTCTGTTTCTTGGTGAGCCCAAGGAGAGCCATCGTGTAAGAGGATGGGGGAAGAAGAGAATAAGGCAGCTTAATGGAGGAATATTGTCTTAAAAACAAGCTAGGTAATTGCTAGCAGCACACCTAAGAATTTTGTCTGTTCATTCTCATAGTCAGGGTGTAATGGGCAGTGGCCAGTAGAATTGTCTTTCTTTTAGTCATTTTGTGTGAATGACAGGAGCAGCTCTGATACTTTAAAACAACTTCAGAAATACCTTGCTAGTTCAGCTGCTGGAAAGAAGCTGTAGAAACCTCATGCCTGATCCTAAGTCCACACACCTCAGGGGAAGGGGCAGCTTTGCTCTGGAGTAACTAGTGCTCCTCCTTGACCGAGCAGTCAGGACAGTAGACGGCTCCTGGCACTGTGCTAATAAGGCAGGGTATTGGTGACAGTGAAGGGTTTTGAGCACTCGCGGACAAAAGTGCTGGAGAGCAAGCACTGGCTAGCCTTCCTTACACACAGCACACAGGGGTGCATATAGGAGTGAGAAAGTGTTGCAGAAAGAAAAAGACGGAAGGTATAACAAGCAGAGAAAAATAAGGTCAGCCTGCGTCATCCAGTGTTTTATTGACTAGAAAGTATTATCTGATGGCTAGATTGTGAGTTCTGGAGTCATGATTTTGGTATACAGTTATCACCTGTAACCTCAGGCAGGTTACAGAATCTCTCTGTGATTTAGTGTCTGTGTGTATGTAAGTGCTTACTTAAAACGTTACATCGTCCCAGTCAGTTTCCGATGAAGGATCTTGTATTTCTCCAGGGGATTCTGTCTGTTCTGGAAATAGAACAGAAGGGATTGTGCAAAGAGGAAATGCTCCAGCAGACACTGCTACAGCTACTTAGAATTGAAAACTTCAAGAGTCAAGGGGCCAAGTAATTAGAATAAAGGGCTAAAAAAGACTACTGACAGGGTTTTAGTTTACCATGGATACAAAAGTTCTGAAAGTTTCCATAAAGAAAACACAGGACAAAACAGACAAACAAACAAAACCTAGAGATCTGAAGTATTGAAATTCTTAGTACAATTCTAGATCCTAGAAGAACATAAAGCATAGCCTTACAAATCCAGAAGGAAAACATGACCTGGGCTTCAGTATACAGAGAAATGAAAGGGAAGATAACGCCATTCATAGTAGGAAGCAAGCAGCAAGCGGAGGGCTGAGTCAAGGGAACGGGACCCAGCCAGGGAAATGTCCTAAACAGCAACTAGGGCAGACCAGAGCAAAGGACTGAGCAAACCACAGGGACACAGGAATTCCATAATAACTTTATTTATAACATCTGAAAACGTCCTATTTATGGGCTCTGACAGCTATGTTAGGATACTGGACTTAATACTTAAAATTAAGGACATAGTTATTAAAAACACTGCTCAGGAGGAAAATGTACAATATACTTGGCTCCACAATGGGATTTACATGTATTTTAGATATATAGCATGTGGGTATGAGTGTGTATAATACATGTATATGTAATAAACACTATATAACAACTGAACACAAATTTTTAAAAATATGTTTTTACGTGTATGTTTGTTTTGCTTGTATTACGTGTGTGCCTGGTGCCTGAGGAAGCCAGGAGAAAGCATTAGATTCTCTAAAAGTAGAGTTACAGTTAGGATCTCCCGTGTGGGTGTGGGTGATGGGACCAAACCTTGGTTCTCTTACAGACAACCAGTGTTCTTGCCTGCTGAGCCGTCTCTGCAGCCTCTTAGCCCAGTTTTCAATATATTAGGGCAGTAGAAAGGACTAGAATAATATAAGAAAGATGCCTCTCAGCCAGTCATCGTAGCGCTTGAGAGGCTGAGGAAGGAAGATTACTGTGTTTGAGGCTAGTCTGCGCAACAAAAGGATCCCATCTCAACTCCCTTCCCCACCAACAAAAACAGATACTTCATTTGCCATAAGAGCAAGTCTATAAGCGATGTCATAGAATCAGTACTATCAGTATAGCGTAGTGTTTAGCAGTGAGAGTCAACAAGAGCCGTGGAAGAGTTAAAATGGAAAAGGGCTGGGAACTGCTTGCATGTTGTCTCTCACTAAATATGTTGAGAGTACAGTCTTGTCTTTAACTTGCCACATATTTACATGAAAATAAAAAACTATAATCATTAGCATAGATATTATACAAATGAGAGGGAAAGCGGAGATTTTAGCTATACCTTCAAAAATACCTTGACTGAACTGAATTCTTTAGTTATTTTGTAGTTCTTCAGATTGCTAAATAGCTAAACATAAGTCCTTACTATTTTCTGCTCTGCTCTCTGATGGCAGCTGCCTCATCTTGCTCAAGCAATAGCAGCTGTTAATATACAGTAGAGCAAAGTAATTGTTGGCGTTACTTGCATACTTACTGTACTAATTTGGTAAAATTAAAATAGCAGCACAAAACACTGACCACGGGGTCCTCTGGTTTGTTATGTGTGTTCATCGTTACCTCAGAGAGGGGAAGTATGGCCTGGTTGACATAGACATAGATATTTGATTTTGTTCTTACTTCATGGTACCGGAATCACAGTAAGCTGGGGTTTTTTTGTTTGTTTGTTTGTTTGTTTTTGTTTTGTTTTGGGTTTTTTTGTGTTTTTGTTTTGTTTTGTTTTTTTTCCTGAAATGGAGTTACATTGACAACTAAAAAAAATGTTGTAAAAGAGATGAATCGGTACGTCTAGTTTCCCACAGGGGAAAATACAGCTCCTAGTCATTGTAGTTGGGGTCTTTAGCGAAAGTGGGCACTACTGGTTTAAACTCTGAGGGGGTTTGCATGTGTTCTTGTAGTCATATTTAGAGTATTGGTTGTGAGCAGAGGGCTTTTCTGTGGAGGATTGTCGTTGATAGAGAACAGTGCCAGTTTTCTGAGTGCTAACTGTGAGCTCTCTGACTGACTGGAAATGCTCACAGTTGGGAGTGCCGGGTTCTCAGGGTACCTCACACTGGCCTCAGCTCCTCTCCCTAATCTTAGTCTGTGGGTGAGCGCCCACACCAACTCAGTCTCTTCCTCCTGTGAAACCCTCTCTGTGTGTGGTTCACAGCTGGCTGGGCATGCTCATGTCTTGACTTCGCATTAACTGCATTAAATGCTGCTTCTTATGGCTGTTTTTACAATGGCTTGCATGGAGAATGGCACCCTTTCTGATTTCTTCTTCAGAGTCTGTGCAGGCTGAGTGCAGAAGGGCTTTGGTTTGGTTCTGATGTGAATACAAATTCAGACTCTACAGAATAGCCTTCCCAACAGTACACTTTATTTGCCTAAGGGCTCCCGACTGACTGAGTTTTGTTTTTCTTCCAGTCTTACCTCCAGTGTTAGTGCCTCGCCACAACGAATTCAATCCGCAACACAGCCTTCTGGTTCAGTTTAGGAACCTGAGCCACAATGAACCGCACATGCCACACAATGCCACCTTTCCAGATTCTTTCCAACAGCCCAACAGCACCCCTTTCCCCGTGTCTCCCAACAGCCCCTACCCCCCTTCCCCCGCTAGCAGCGCATACCCCAGCTCCCCGGCAAGCTCTGCTCCAGGAAGCCCGTTCCAGCTCCCAGGTAAGACTCCTCTGCTGTCCCTGAGAATGGGAATTGTTTTAAGTGCTGCTCTTCTGAGTGACATTTTCTTTTAAGAATTTATTTCCGCAAGAGTTAGTTTACTTTCCAAGTTCCATCAGAATGAAATACCTGCTGTTGCTGTTCAGGTGAACTTTGAAGGAACATAGTTTTAAGTGACATCTCAGTATGTGATGATGACAGTAATTAGACGTGTACCTGTTGTAGTGTGTGCCCTGGGTGGTCTGTGACCTCAGATTGCTGTGCAGTAGCTGCAGTTTCTTTGAACGTAGATGTCTTTAAAACAAAGGAAAAAACCTTGACCTTGGGTTCCATTTTAGTGTTGACCCTGGTACCCTGAATTAGCCAGGGTCTAAGTAGATGTAGGCTTATAGTAGGTATATAGGAGATGTGTGCAGTGTTCAGTAACGAATCTGGCTGATAACCATGCCAGTTTAAAGTGCTTTTGGAGTAATAGCTTTAAGGAGAATGAAGACCATATTCTTTGAGGAATGACAGTGTCTCGTGTTCTTCCTGTTAGCTGATACACCACCTCCTGCCTATATGCCACCCGATGATCAGATGGGTCAAGACAGCTCCCAGCCTATGGATACAAGCAGTAACATGATTCCTCAGACCATGCCCAGCATATCCAGCAGAGGTGAGAAGAGGCTCACTTTTGTTGGTGCCATTTTTATTTCTTTTAACTTCTTGGCTACGTTTTACTTTTTTGTAGTGTTAGGAATCCAATCCAGGGCCTCCTACTCTCCTACTATAGATAATTAATCTCCCACGGAGGTAATTTCCTGATCTTGGTCGTTTGTGCAAACACCTTGAGTGGAGTATGGCTATAAAAATCACTGAGTATGCAATCCAATGACTATGAAGTTTTGGTTCAAAATGTAGCTTAAAAACAGTGCCATAACCTTTCCCAAGAGATTTTACCCCATCCTGCGCTCAACATAGCTCTCTGTTCTTGTACAGATGTTTTTCCGAATGCTTCATAGAAACAGAGTCCTGAGGACAGTGAGATGGGTTAATGGGTAAGAGCACTTGCTGCTAAGCCTGGTGACGAAGGCTGGTGACGACACATGGTAGGAGAGGAACCCCTCCCTGATAAATAGATACAATATAATAGTAGAGGTATTATATAATACCTTTAAAAGATTCCTTTATTTTTGTTTTGTATGTGCACCACGTGCATGTCTGTGGAGGCCAGAAGGTGTTAGATCCCCTGGAACTGGAGTCACAATTGTGAGCTACTGTGTGGGTGTTGGGAACCGAGCCTGGGTCCTCCTCGAACCGTGAGCAGCAGTCTGAACTACTGAACCATCTCTGCGGCTTCCACGTATAATCTTTCGCATAGTGTTGCCGGGCTCACCTGTTCTGTAGCAGCAGTCAGCGGACATTTGAGCTATTTGCACTTTTGATGAGTAGAATGCCACTACTCAGGACTCTCATCAAAAGTGCGGGCCTTTGTGTGGCCATTGCCTTTTTCCCTCTCTCGGGTAGATGTTTGTGAGCAGGATGTCTGGGTCGTATGATAGCTTTAGCTATTTGAGAAATCGCCAGGCTTTTCAAGTGGCTGTGCCAGCGCCAGCCGGCACCATGTGAAGGCGCAGCTTCTCCACAGCTCCTTAGCCCTGCCACTGCCTAGCTTTTAAAGGTTACACTGCATGGGTATGAAGCACTAGTTGGACTTAATTTGTACACCCTATTGAGTAAGTTGAACACTGAAGAATTTCTTCCTTTGGTGTTAAGTCTTCTGCCCATTGGCTTGGGTGTGTCTTTGTGGGGGTGTAGAGTTTTTTGTAGATTCTGGAAGTGAACCACCTCTACCCTTTGTTGTGGTGTAATTTAACCCAGGTCACTGGGTAGCAGTATAATTATTTGCATGAAGAAATCCTGTACTAGATCAGTTTTTCTCTATTTAATTGGTATTTTATTAAAAATCTTACTGTGAATTTGAAGGTTTGTTTAGAGACTCTTAATTTTGTTAATTGGTCTTCATTACTATACTTGGTAGTATTGGTTACTAAATTTTATAGTAAAGATCTTGTGTGCATTTTTGTTAATCATGGCAAAATGCTCATAGCATAAACTTTTACCACCTTACTACTCTTATGTCCACGTTCAGTGACATTAGTCACACTCTCATTATTGTTCCATTGACACCATTCAGCACCATTTTACCTCGTGAAACTGAAATTCTGTACCTACTAAATAAGTCCTTATACCCACCTAACGCCTCACCCCTGCTAACCGCCATCATGCTCTCCCTCTGTATAATTTTGATTACTCTTAAGTACCTCATGTAAGTAGACCGTACAATACTTGCTTATTATGACAACTTACTGCACTTAGCACGACGCCCTAGAGACCTGTGTATGTTGGTGCGTTTGTCAGAGTCTCATTCCTGAGGTGCATGGTACTCCCTGTGTGTGCCGCCTGTGCTTGCCCTCTGCACAGAGGAGCCGCTGTGCTGTCCACACTTGCTCTGCTGTGCAAGCTGCAGCCAGCACACTCGGAGACTGTTGGTTACAGTGCTCAGATTTTCTGAGTCCTTGCATGTTTTCTTCCTGGTTGTTTTTTCTAAAATTAGAAGATTGAACTCTCCAGCAATTAGGATCGACTTGCATATTTCTGCTTTCGAACCTTTTGATGATTGCTTCATGTACTTAGGGCCTCTTGTCAAACCGTACAGTTCAGTAATATTAATACATCCGGCATTGTGCAGCTCTTGTTGCTGTTTCCAGGGCTTGTCATCCTCCTACAAAACGCCACGTCTGGTATGTCTCTCCATTCTCCTCCTCCAGTCCCTGGCCAGTCCTGCCTGACTTTTCCTGCCCTGGGTGGGCTCTCCAGTGCCTGTCCTCACTGTCCTTTTGTGCGTTGCCTCTTCCTCTTAGCATGGCATTTACAAGGGTTCCAAGTGCATCTTCAAATCTCATTCCTCCTTGGAGCTGGGAGGCATCTATGTTTGTTCCTGCATTTATCTGTTTATGAATACCTGACTTTATTCTACTTTTTTGACTTTTGCACAGCAGACTGTTGGTTGTGTCACTGTACAATCCGTCTTTCTGCGTGCGCTATATATGTGGGAGTAGAATTGCTGTGTTTTATATATATGTATGTATATATATATATATAGTATATATACTATATATATATATATATATATATATATATATATAACTTTAGAAACCCTAAACTCCGCACAACAGCTGTGTCACTGTGTTCCCAGTGGTGCCACGTGCGTTTCCCAGTTCTCCAATCCTCACCAGTGTGCTTTCTGTTGTTTGTGCCCTTGTCCTTGCTTTCCTCACCCTTATAATGGCTGGTCTAATGGCCGTGGGGCGTGCTGTATTACTGTAGGGTGTTTTAATTGACAAATAAGAAATAATGTGGTTTCTCCCCCATGATGTTACCACTCTGGTAATGCCTTACATTGACATACGTGTTTTAGAGATCAAATCCTGTCACTTTAGGTGCTGGGGAGATATTTCTGAGTAAAGCCTTGCTGTGCGGGTGTAAGGACCTGAGTTCAGATCCCAGGCATCCATATAAAAGCCAGGTGCATAGCACACCTTTATTCCAGTGCTCCTACAGGGGAATCCCAGGGAGTTTGAGAGCCAGACAGTCTTCCAAACCAAGTAGCAAAGAGTAAAGAGCCCCTGACCCCTCCCCCCAAGAGCTAGAATGCAAGGATCGGCCTCAGTTCTTGAGGTTGTCCCTGGCGTTCACACATGTACTAAGATAGAGTAAAAAGATACCGCCATTTACACTTTTTTAAATATCAGTGTGTGTGTTTGTGATAATAACCCACAGCTAACCCCGTACCAAATTGTGAAAAACTATTAAAATCTGCTAAAGTCAGTAACAGGGCAGCTCTGCGAGTATCCCTGGTTTCCTTTGACCCCCACCTAGTTCTTTAATTCATCTTTTTGTTTAGAATAACGTTACAGATACCTACTTAGTTAATTATTTTTTAGTTGCTGGAAAATAATTTTATTTAATTTATTAATTTAAGCCTATATTAGTTTATTGTAGACCTATTTCAGAGGTGCTGTTGCGACTGCATTTGGAATTGTGTCTTTCACAAATTATGTATGGAACCCCTAAGCACCAGTATGTTTGTATGTGGAAATGTGGGCTTTGGGGAGGCCGTCTGGTCTAAATGAGGTCATCAGGATGGGGTTCTCCTGCTGAGTGACTCTGTAGGAAGAGGAGTTCCCTTGTTCTCTTTCTGTCCTTGAGCACAAACCAAGGAAGTTTGTGCCAGCAAAAAGCAGGAGGGTAGCTGTGAGCAAACAGGGTGTGGCCCTCACTAAACACTGAAGCCACTGCCGCTTTGATGCTGGACCCCTGGCCACCAGGACTTTGGGAAACAGAACTCTGTTGCTTACATCACTCTATCAGTGATGTTTCCTAGAGCGTCCGACGCCACCTGGGACAGAAGTTGTACCTAGAAGGATGGGGTGCTGTTGTTTAGATATCTAGAAACAATGGTGTGGTTTTAGAATCAGTAGAGGCTGGAGTAAGGGCTAGCGAAGTGACTGATAATAAGGATTGAGGAACCCTTGCATTTCCTTAAGGAACATACTGATTTTGTGTTTAGAATCTAATGAAGCTGATCCTTCTGCACCCGCCGGCCTGAATGAGGCACACTGGGTAATGGAGGAATGGCCTTCCTTGTAGCAGAGTGGTAGCTTGCTTAGATTGTGTTAATGTTCTAGTGTTGTGTGGAGGGTAGAACTTTAGAGATGCAAAATCAGTTACTCAGCTGAAGAGATGCTTAAGCAAAATATGACTGATTTCTCGTGATTGCTAATAGCAAAATATAAAAAGAAAGATTAAAAAGGGGTTACTTAAAAAAGAACTTAACATTTCAGAGTTTTTGTTTTTGTTTTTTTTTTTTAATCATATACATGGTAAATACGAATGTGTGTCTGGAGAGAAACTAAGGGTTTTATTTACATTTGATAGTGATGTTACTGTGGATGTGAAGTATGGACCTGATCAGTCCCCTCTACCAGGAACAGAGTAGAGTTAGTTTCACTTGAGAGGACAGAGAGGTAGCTCAGCACTTCTCCAGTGAGATAGGAGTGGGTGCAGCCTGGAGTGTGTGGCAAAGCAGAAACAAGAGAGACCCTGCCTCAAAACAAAGTGGAGGGCAAGACGCTTCACGGGCACACAGCAAGAGGGCTGCTCTCCGTGTGTAAACCAGGGAGTCTCCACTAACAGCACATCTGCTGACTCCTGATATCTGAGCCTCTAGAACTGAGCAATAATTGTGGTGGTTTTGTTATTGTTGTTTTGTTTTGAATTTAAGCCATTCAGTCTGTGGTATTTTATTATAGCTATCTGAGCAGGCCAAGATGAGTTGCCCTGGACTCTAATGCAGGAATGTCAGTGAAACTTAAATGAAGTGTGTATTTTCATTGTCGTATAATGCTTGGCTAGGCTAACGGGTAAATAGTCAAAGATGCTGGTGTGTCAGATAATTGGTTACAGACTTCTTTTCTGCTTTCAGATGTTCAGCCTGTTGCCTACGAAGAGCCCAAACACTGGTGTTCAATCGTCTACTATGAACTAAACAACCGCGTTGGGGAAGCTTTTCACGCATCTTCTACTAGCGTGTTAGTAGATGGATTCACAGACCCTTCAAATAACAAAAGTAGATTCTGCTTGGGATTGCTGTCAAATGTTAATCGTAATTCAACTATTGAAAATACTAGGCGACATATTGGAAAAGGTAATCTTGTCACATTCAGTTGAATTAAGTCCTTTTTTTATTTTTTGTACTGGCTGGGTACAGTTCATTGCAGAAGGTACTGGAAACATCTAAATAATCTTAAGGCATGGCTTTTACCTCAAGTTGCAGATACTAAAGAATGTGATCAAATAAAGACATGACCACACTCCTCTCTCTTCGTCCTGCTTAGTTTTTGTGTCTAGCACTGAAGACTGAAGTCCTGCTCTCAGCTTCTTTGGTGTTTACCCTAACAGTTAGGGCAGCTTAAGTCAGGGCCTAATTGCGATTTAAGAGGCGCAGGAGTGTCCTCGGTGGCTAGAACAATGCTTGGCTCATAACATCATTTTTTTTTAATCTTTGCAAAATATATGCATTTGGTGAAGGATTGGAAATTTAAGGTTATTGCATTTAGAGTGTTCTCTGCTTATTCTAAGATTAGCATGGTATTAGAAGTAGAGTTGTAGCTAGAAGTAGAGGGAGACTATCAAGACACCTCATGCAATAGAGTTCACTTTTGATCTGCCAAGGAGTGTTGTTGCCAGAGCAGTACAGTACTTTATATACCGCATGGGTTGCCGGTGCCACCCAGCAGAGGCGGCGCCTTAGCAGGCTGCTTCGCCTGTCTCTTGAGCACTTTTGCTATTACGTCCCTGCTGCTCTGTGCTTCTTTGACTGGAGTGTTAAACGTCAGAGACAGTAACAATGGCAGATAATAATAATTGTGATAGGCTTTCTTATAGGAAAGAGTCAGAAAAATAAACTGAAGCCAGGTAAAGGAGCTCACACCTGTAGTCCCAGTACTTGGGAGGCTAAGGCAGGTGAGTCCCAGTTTGAAAGCCATCCTGGACTACACAGCAAGACTGTTTCTGTTTGTTGGTTGGTTGATTTTTGTTGTTGTTGTTGTTTCTTTTCTTTGAACAGTTCCTACTGATTTCTTTGTTTTCTTGTGAGATGCTTCTCTTTCGCGTACCCATCTTTTCAGTCCTCTCCTACTACAGTGGAGATAATTTAAGGGCGTCTCTTTGGTCAGTTCTAGGACCAGTTTTCCCTTACTGGCCAGCATTCCCGTTCTGCAGTCTTTGGAGCCTGCTCCATCTCCGTTTACTCAGAAGGAAACCACAGTTTGTAACATCATATATGGACAGATTCTGTTACTTAATATTTAGGCAGAGATTTGCATTTGTGGTGCTCTTGCTGAAAGGCACTGTGTGTAGTCATGAACAGTAATGGAAACTTGACCATTGAAGGTGCTCAGTATTCTCCTGTCATCTAGAACATGGCAGTTGGCAGCATGCTGTCGGATGAGTGAGGCAAGAGTGTGTGCTTCCGAATAATGGTGACTTATTTGAAAGTAAAGCAAAGTTTCAGTTCACAGACGCACACAGACATACTGTATAGGAACATATATGTAACTTAACCTGTGCTGCACATGACAAGGGTTACAAGGATGTGCACCAAATTCAGAGCACTGTCTACTTACGGGGATGGAAAACTTGAGGTAATTCTTAGATACATTGGAGAAGTATTTGGTGGGTGAGTTAGCTTTCTAGCAGTTTAGCTTAAATTCCACTGTTAAGAACTGCTTTCTCGTAGCATTTAAAAGTATGTTTGTAGAAAACTTTTACAAAGTTGTATTATATTATTTGGTGCGTGTAGGTATTTTACCTGTGGGTGTGTCTGTACTACATGCATACAGTGCCCTCCGAGGCCATAAGGAGAAGGATCTCTTGGGACTGGAGCTATAGATGGTTGTGAGCCTCCATGTGGGCACTGGGAATCCAGCATGGTCTTTTGCAAGAGCAGCCAGTGCTCTTAACTCCTGAGCCTTTGCTCCACTTCCAGGGAGGGAGGGAAGGCAGGCAGGCGGGCTTTTTAAAGGAAAGAAAAATGAGTCTGCCATCTGAAAGCTCTTCCTGTAATCTGAAGTCACCTGTGTGTGGATTTCTGTGGGAGATGGTTGAAATGCTGTGGTCTTCTTTGCTAGCAAGCAGTGGAAAATTTCACTCACTTTTCTGACTATCGATAACTCCAGGCATCTCTTTGAAAAGAGCATTTTTTTTTTTTTTTTTGGTGGAGCAAACAGGAACCCTGGGAGCAGACATGTTAATCACCCTGCCAGTTGCGGCCCCAAGAATCTTTTAGAGTTAGGCTGATTATTTTTGGCTACTGAAGGCCATCTAGTGGTGATTGTTGGCGTTTTTCTGCATTTCTGGGTGCCGTGCTTGCCTCACACACGCGCATGCGCACACGCACACTCACGCACACACACTCACACACACACGCATACGCACACTCACACACTCACACTCACACACGCACACACACTCACACACACGCGTGCACACGCACACACACTCACGCACACTCACACACACTCACACACGCGTGCACACGCGCGTACACACACTCACGCACACACACTCACACACTCACGCACACTCACGCACACACACTCACACACTCATGCACACTCACACACTCACACACTCACGCACACTCACACACGCACACTCACACGCACACTCACGCGCACACACTCGCACACTCACGCGCACGCGTCTGGCTCTGTGCAGTGCTTTGTTCACTAACCCCCCCCCCCGCCTGTCTTTAAGGTGTCCATCTGTACTACGTAGGTGGGGAGGTGTATGCCGAGTGCCTCAGTGACAGCAGCATCTTTGTGCAGAGCAGGAACTGCAACTTCCACCACGGCTTCCACCCCACCACGGTCTGTAAGATTCCCAGTAGCTGCAGCCTCAAGATCTTTAACAATCAGGAGTTTGCCCAGCTTCTGGCTCAGTCTGTCAACCACGGCTTTGAGGCTGTGTATGAGCTCACCAAGATGTGCACCATTCGCATGAGCTTTGTCAAGGTGAGCGGTTTGGTCTGTAATATGACTTTATGCAAAAAATTACTAGACGGAGGTCGTCACTACTTCTGACCCCATTTTGTTATATTTTAAATGAAATACTTCAATTTAACATTTTAGCCAAATGACAAGCTATCTCATTTTGTAATCTATACATAAAATCCTTGGTAATTTTGATATTGGGTAAGGATTTTAAAATATTTCAGCTAGGAGACTTAAGTTATTGGAAAACATTTAATACTGAAATTGCATTTTGAGTGCCTCAGATTCCATCACAGTGACTTGGGAGACTTAATTATGGTACTAACTTACCTTACTGTGGCTCAGTCCTGTGCAAAGGATTTATAAAGCCTATCACTTACTTTGTTGGTTTTGGTTTTTCAAGACAGCGTTTCTGTCTGTATCCCTGGCTGTGCTGGAACTCACTCTGTAGACCAGGCTGGCCTTTAGCTCACAGACGCCGCCTGCCTCTGCCTCCTGAGTGCTGGGATTAACGGTGTGCGCCACCACCACCTGGCAAGAGGGACACTATCGTTTACTCTTTTACTGCTTGTATTGAACATTTCAAAGATTGTGTGTCATTAACAAAGTGTCGGGGAATCCTAGTGGCAGAATTGTGCAGGTGGCACTGCCCCTCCCAGCCGCGGAAGGTTAGTTCAGAAAGAGCAGCAGCTCATGCGAGCGCAACTCTGCTTGCTCGTTCTTTGTTTTGGTTTATGGCATTTAATCTCAGTCCACTGGTTTTTGTTGCTTATCAATTATCTGAATTTATGTTCTCTTCCCTCTTTGGAAATACAGCTTTTTTTCTATTTATTTATTCTCCAGTTCCCCCGCCTGCACATTCCCCCCCCCCCCCGTTTCCCCGAGGCAAGGACTACTATAGTTAGACAGAGCTTGATAAATCAGGAAAAGTAAAAAGTACATATTTCAGTTTTGACTGGAACTTACTTTCTCTTATTAATTTCTCACCTTTAAGGACAATGGCATAATGTGATTACTACAGGAAATAAAAAACAAACAACAGAAGCCCCCAAACTCTAAAAATCTTTTTTTTTTTTTTTTTTTTTTGTGAGAGATCAGTCTGCAGCCTTTGTAAAATTTAAAAACATTCTGAAATAAATATATATGGCCCCATGGGTCTACATTAGAAATTCTGTTATTTATTAAAAGTTTGTAGCTTTGAGTAATGCAACCATTTTCTTTTAGTATCATGGTGAATGATGACTGGTTTTCTGTAGTTCGGTTTAAGTATGTGTTCTGTGTTTTTACAGTTGAGCTTTTTATGGTTATAGTTGGTGTAGACTGTTGACTCTTTAAGAGGGATTTGATGTGCTTCCTCTTCTGTTTGTTTTCAGGGCTGGGGAGCGGAGTACCATCGGCAGGATGTTACTAGTACTCCATGCTGGATTGAGATTCACCTCCATGGGCCTCTCCAGTGGCTGGATAAAGTCCTCACTCAGATGGGCTCTCCTTTGAATCCCATCTCTTCTGTTTCATAGTGCAGGCATGCTCCTTTCGACTGTATCTTCAGTGGACTTGTCTTAATCCTAGAGGAATTTCCAGTACAGACACTGTGAGCTGACATGGAAAAACAGATATTATGGCTTATTTTTTTCTACATAATTGTGACCAACACATTTGTATTTTGTGATGAATTTATATTTGTTTGTATTCATGTTCATTGTGATTAACCTTCAAAAGTATTGTAAACAATGTAGAGTATTTTGCCCCCATTGAGAAGTTTGGCATTGATCTTAAACTGGAACATGCTTTTGGTTATTGTCCCAACAGTTTTTTAATTTGTTAATTTTTTACAAAGTAGTGCATCATATAATGAAGATTTATCTTGTAAGAGGGCAAAAAAAAAAACACACGAAAAGTACTAGATGATAATGTTTCTGGTAATTTCTTTGCCCTACCACCTTTGTTTTGCGAAGACATATGGTAGGGACTTAAAGGGAACTGCTGACTCTCATTTGAAGGACACTGCACTCCTAACGTGACGTTCAGTGAAAGCAAGGTGGTGGATTTCTAGATGTCATACATTGGCATTTAATATAGCGAAGTGTTTGTCAGTGGAATGTGACTTCTTGCTATATATCATTTGTAAAACATTTCCTTTTTAAAAATCTCTATTATATGTCGTTTACTCAAGTTTGTCATAAGTTTTACTTAATAGTTACAGTGTGTGCATGGCCTTGTTCAGCGGTGTTTGCTGCTTTGGGCCAGTGTTTTAATAATGTGCATTAATCTTTTCGTTTTGCACTTTTATGGGTGACAGTTTTTAGTGTAACTCTGGTAACGCAGTCAGGTGATCTGGTCTCAGATCTTCTCTTTCCCTCCTTTGTATCAACACTGCCATTTAGAGACTGCAGTTGTAGGTCAGGATGCTTTTTCTAGCTTTTAATTTTCAGTCTGGTTTATGAAGTTGTTGTTCTGTAGTTCCAGCTAAGGTGCCTGTGAATTCCTTACAATGTTATGGGTGTTATTAATGTTGAAAGGTCGTGGACTTAATACCATTGCTCTTATACCAGACTTCTCATACAAGGACCTATGCAGTGTAGCCACCAGGGGCTTTGGTTGGGCCCCTAGGATGAGGCTGTTGCTGTGATGTGAATGAGTCATCAGAGGGGGTTGGGACAGCTCAGATGTCCTGTAACAAAGAATGTAGTCTTGTCTCCTTTTGTGTCAATGCTCTGTCTTTTTCCTTTTTATCCTTTTAGAACCTACTTTGATGCTAATCTCCGGAACACCGTCTTCTCAGACACAGGGTGTGGGTTCTCTAAGACACCCATGTAGTTCAGCCTAAGGACCCGTAACCACTTTCTAGGGAGCATTCAGATGGGCAGTTACGGCCTGAGGAGGAAGAAGATGACCTAATTTCCCCATCACAATGAGAAGCTTGATTCCCTAGTGCCACTTTATTCTGCTGCTGAAAATGTTGTTTTGGTTTGACTTTTTACAGTGCCCTTCTGCTTTTATGAGGAAAACATAGCTCTTTGGGGGGGGAGGGGGGAGATACGATTCCTTTTGTTTTCTGGTCATTATGTATTGCCTTTCAGAGAGTAGCCATGTGGGTGGCTTTACTCCTTCAGAGGATGTGCTTTGCTGGGCTGGGCCTTCAGTAGCTGGGGCCCTCAACATCAGTACCCATGGCATACACTTGCAGAGTGTATCAGCCACATGGAAGAGAACATCTGCTTTGTAGTTGTTCCTTTTTTTAGCAGGCTCATGGCACAATCTTTAGGAGCAAGTTTGTAGGGAGGCGTCTCGAGTTGAATGACAGGCACATACATGTCAGTGAGCTCTGTTGAAGTCTGGAAATGCGTGCCTTGCTCGCTCCTTTTTTCCACCAGTGGGTTATGTATTGTTTCTCCATAGTCTTCGTCCCAGACTTCCGGGCTGCAGGGTTCTGTGTGATTGGCCTTCTGTGTTCAGGGTTTCTAGGAGACGTGCGAACCTGTCTCTTAGAAGGTGTCAACACCACATGTGGTCTGTGAATGGAGACTGCAATCTACCTGCCCCTCTGATGTCTGCGGACATACTTCTGTCTGTGGGCGGAAAAAGGAGCTCGTAAGGTGAAAGGAAAGAGACGTAGCTCTGGCCCGCCGACAGCCGAGCGTCCAAAGAGGCTGTTTGTGTGGGGGGTAAAAAATGGTTGCCGTGAGACCCAGAACAGCAGCACTGGTACAGTCTCTGTGTCTGATGAGTCTCCTGTGGTCCAGGCTGGCATTGAACATGCTAAGTTGCTGAGGGTGGCCTTGAACTCTGATCCTTCTGTGTCTACCTCCCAAGTGCTAGGGTGACAGACACCCACCATCACACCCAGTTTCTGTGGTGGTGTCCATCAGACTCAGGGTTTCGTGCATGCTAGGCGAGTGCTCTGCCAAGCAAGTAACATCCCCAGTTCAGTGTTCACATGTTTAGCATGCAAAATATACTAATATATGCCAAATAAAAAGATAGATTTGCAAATAATGAAAATTGCCATCAGTTTGGTGGATTCTGCAAATCTCAGTCATAAATTACGGCAGCGAGATGCCAACTAGAAAAAAGCAGGACCTGAGAGGTGCATTTGACTAGTGTCTCTACAGGGTAGCATGATGGCCTGGTTGTTGTTATCAAACTAAATTTTATTACCTATAAGCTAGCAGGCATGCTGTTGGTCTTCCAAAATCACAACTACACTTTAGAGAAAATTGTAGGAAGAAATCAGTTAAAATAGCAAACTAGTAGAACAGAATATGAAACTTTTTTTCTGTAATGTTCGTGGTTGCTGGTATAAGAGAAGTGGCTGTAGGAATTAGCTGGGTTGCTAGATGAGACCAGTATGAAGATTGCTGGATATAACACAACCAGCTACACTAATACTGCAGATAGGAAATGTGCCATTGTTTATAACATTTTAAAGTTAGGATGCCTTTGGGGGATGTGAATGACAGTGACATGCCAATGTGAAGTGTACTGTCTTACCTTGCATAGCCTCTCTGCTGCCCAAGAGGGCTTGTAGGGAACATTCCCTTCCCTTCCCTTGCCAGTGGTGCCTTTGGGAGGGGAGAGTTGCAAAACAATGAAATCTTACTGATGTGGGGAAACCGAGTCAGGCTGGCCTGTCAAAATTTGTGCTTGCACTGCAGAGAGCTGCAAGACCGCTCAGGTCCCTGCCTCCGCGCCTTTCCTAGTCACTGCCCTTGGAGCACTTGGGCTGTTTCTCTGTCTCATCTAAAGTTGTATCTCTTGCTTCCTGAAGAGGAAAGACTCTTGAAAATCATTTTTTCTTTCTTTTTTTGGATTTTTTTGTTTTGAGACACAGTCTCCCTGTATATCTCTGGCTAACCTGAAAATTACTGTGTAGGCTAGCCTCAGACTTGAGGTCATTCTCTTGCTTTTGCTTCTGAAGTTCTAGAATTACAGGCACACGCCCCAGGTACAGTGTTCTCTGCTGGTTTTTAAAGTTCAGCCCCTGCTGATGGTGTGCATGTAGACCCCCACTTTGTTGAGTCCTCTGCTACCTGGGGTCTTAGTAAAAGTGTGTATTCTCAGTATACACAGAACTAAACAAGAAGATGGTTTTTAATATAGGTAACCTGTGGGTTTGGAAGCATTTCATGACTTTAGGGGAGGGATTTTTCCTAAGTGGCCCCAATACTAACTAGATCGACCTTTTGAAGGCAATGTCCAGTTAAGTGACTGTTTCTCTCATAGCAGTAGGGTTTTCTCTTTTGGAAGGTACCAGTCCTTAGAAGATTTTCTTGTTTAATAAGATGCATGTCATGTATAGGAAGTGAAAAGCATTTGTTCTACACTAACTGAGTTTCCTGTCTGCTGGACAGACACTTGGGCATTTCTGTGCATTCTTGGGCTGCAGTTGCGTGTATGCTGGTAACGGGCATCAGCGTTTAACAGTGTGTCATAGGACGTGTGTGACTGGGTCCTTCGGGACAGAAGTGCTTTTCCTGGGTGGGGCTGGAGCTCAGTGGTGGAGCACTTCTCTAGCAGGCACAAATCCCTGTGTGCAGTCCCCAGGACTGCACAAAACCAACCAGACAGGTCTCAGAATCCGCCTTGCTGTGATTGATGTGACCACCCACAACTTGATGGCATGCTGGAACCGAGGCAGGAAATTCATAGTGACATTTTTCAAAAGTGAGACTACCTGTTATAACATTTAGCTGGTGACAGTTGCTGTTCAGCGATGACTTCTTTCTTACCCAGCAGAGATCCAGTCCCAGAGCTGACTTTGCCCTCAGAAGAGAGAAGTTTGTGTAGTCCTTTTCCAGGTAACTTAGTTCTGAATTTTAAATTTACTTCTTAGTTTTAAATTTTTAAAGTCAACATAAGCAGTTATCATTTAAGGAGTTGTCTGAAGTTGCTCTTTTTAAAAAGCTCTGAATTTGTGTGTAGGTCGGATGTCTCCTGCTCGCTCCCCAGCCATAGGTCATGCCTTTGTTACTGTGAACTGGTGTCAGCCATACAACACTCCAGTTAGGCCAAAGACTCAGTCCCAAGCTCTTTCAAAGTAGTCTTAAGTCGGTCAGCGGTGCTCTTCGGATACCATTGGCGAGGCCGATACTTTGGCATCCTCATAAAGGAGCTAAAGCGTGGCTGTTGGCCATGGTACTCTCTAACATGGCTGCTTAAAGTTGCAGTGCAAGTTTACTTATTCAGATCGAGTAAGACTATAATCATGGAGAATGACTAGCTTCCCGCGAGGAAGTGAGCTCGCGTGGATGATGAAGAGCGACGATGGCTGGCTGCACTGTGGTCTGCTTACGTGTATCGGTCCTGCTTCTGTTCATGTCATAGAAGACGACACTAGCCGCACGCTGTAACTCTGCCACCTTTTGATACTTACAATGATGTATTAGGTCTTACTGTATTGTGCTTCTCAAAGCCATAACGCTTAAGAAGTTTGTTTTTGCATATTGTTTGCTAATACTTTATTTTAATAAACCTCAAAATTTGCTTGTGGTGTCTGTTTTTGTTTATTTTCTGGTACTTTGCCCGGATTCATGATTCATCCAGTGGTGACCTAAGTATGGTGAGAGTTTCATTGACACAGGGTTACCAGTGCTGTTGACAGGAGGTGTGCAGACCACATGTTGACCCCTCATCGCACACGCGAGCTGTGCTCAGAAAGGTACCGTTTTGTCTGTTGCTTTTGTATGGGAGTTAATGTCCTTTCCCTTTTTGTGTTATATAGGGAGTTGCTAACTTTATTTTTTCTGTGTTTTATTTTGAAGAAAGATTAAGGCCTATTCTGCAGTGTTTTAGTTTAGTCACTGTTTTCTAGATCTCTAAGTGAGGGGGCCTTGCTTATCAAAGCTGGCTGTAGTGTGCCTGCCTGTACTTGAGTCTGGGGCCTTATGACTCTGCTTTTCAGCAGAAAGCTTAACCAATCTGTGCCTCAGACTCTGCATCTGTAAAATGGTACTTCATAGAAAAATAAATGAAGCAGGACAAGTCAAAGACTACTACTTGGAATAAAACAATCCATTAAAATGATCGGTTGCTTTGATTTAAAGCAAGTATTAGAAATACTATCTGACCTTGACCTTAGTTGATAAACTGTTGGTGGATGGTCTACTTAGTGAACTAGCTAAGCAAAAAAAAAAAAAAAAAATGCTTGTAAAAGTTATGCGTTGTGTGTATGG